TCTCGGCACCTCAGTAAAGATCACTCTGTTGTGTTGTAGCTACTTTAATTTTTCATAGGATTGTTGGACCTTTCCTAGACAGTTAGACAATTGATTTTTACACGAGTATCTTACTAATCCATGTATAGCCGAAATATCTAAAAACATTTTCACATTCGAGAGGAGGTATATCAATTATCAATATCATTGAGGAATCATGACTAAATTGTGAAATAGAATAACTGATAAACAGACCTGTTTATGTTGATTAGCTATTTCCATCTATATGTGTATTCATAGAATCTATTACACATTTTCGAATCTCTCTGTTCTAAGAACTGTAGCATAGACGTTAGTAGTTCTCTCCTTCAGGAGTCTCATTAGTGCATTCAAATCATCTGTGAAAGTATTCACAAAAAAAACTCGTATAAAATGTATAAGGCTCACATGATATATTATGAATAAGGAGGGACTATCGTTACTGTCAGATGGAAACCCGATGGAAATCTGAAACTCTTTGGTGTCCGTGTCACTGGAGCGAACAAAAGCTCTTCGTGTTGTATAAGCCAGGTATGCAGGACTTTTAACAGGACAATTGGCATTCCAAATCGATAGTTTGGTCAGTAACATGATGTGCCAAACACTATCCTATACTCTTTTCTAATCCATATATACTGACAGAGTAGACACATTCGTCTCTAAATTGTTATACACTTTGTGTGGGACAGATAACAGTGTTGTGGAAATCTGACGACTGGAACGAAACCTTGATTGTTTTATAGGAACAAATACTGTTCAATTCAGTTCATTCTCAGATTCGTATCAGCAAAATTTTTTCGAACAGTTTGACGTGTGTAAACTGATAGATGTATATCTAGAAATCTACTTTTACCTAGCTAGAAATTGAAACACTAACAAAGATATGGTTTGTAATCTGAACGCAATAATTTTAACCTAGAGTTGAAATACGGAATCATATCCTGTTTGGGAATTGTACTTTACTTTTAACTTACCAATAAAGAGTAAATATTAAACAAATTTTGTTCGAATTATTTGATACATACTGAAGTTAGTGTAACAGACATTAGTATGAACTTAAAGTCGTAATAGAGTCTATATTAAATACTTCATTTCTTTAGAAAAATCCATAACAATAAGTGACATATTGATTATCAACTAAGCACTTCATTTTTACTCGGTTGAGAAACGGTTTTATTACTTAGATATAGATTTTAATTCATACCTATCTCATTGACTTCGAATCTAGATTGAAGCTAACACTATGATTTCATCAAAATTAACTCTCTTTTAACTCTGTACCTGTCCAGTCGAATTTTTTTGTAGGCATGAGCTTCTTGACCAAGAAAGTTATGCAATGAAAATACTTCTAGATATATACTAACGTTAAATTCATCAGAAAAAAATCAACATGAGGAAGTGGAATTCCCAGTTTCAATCACTTTCCTGGTTGACCTTCTTTCTCATGAATAAAAATTCCACTGGGGAAATTGCATTAATTGCTTTTAATCATTATCTTAGTGGAAATCTTCCGAATTGTGTACATGACCTTCATGGACAAGAAAGTCGATTGATATAGACAATTTTTATAATGACTGAAAACAACGAACACTTCCTTCCTGAATTTTCATCAAGCGGATTGTAGTATTCATTCCTATTGCTTGGGAATAATTATAATAATTAAGTTGTGTGAAGAAAGAATTGGCTTGTGGGCTTATTGCGACATTTTTTTTTTCGCTCGATTATTGTAATTAGTATCGAAACGAGCGTCAAATAAGAATAACTGTGCGACTATTCTTAGCAAAAAAAAACTTATTAGAAGTCTTATGAACTGTAAAAATAAATACTAGGCAGAATCGAAGTGATTGGAATAAGCATTGAAGCAACTTTATCTGTCATTAGTAAATCATGGATTAGACATTATTTGACGGATATTTAATAAAAAGAGGATTTCCTTTGAATGAAATCAGAGTCTTAACTTCCATATAGATTATGAAGTTGATGAGATACAACTGAATTGGAATGTATATCTAAGCAAGAAAAGTGCTTGCCAATCAAGTAAAAATGAAATGCTTCGTTAACAGCCAACGCATCAATTATTGTTATAAGTTCTAATATAATCAAATATCTAATATAAATTCTATGATGATTTCAAGTTCATATTAACGGTTGTTATACAAACTTCAATATACATTAAATAATTGGAACAAAATTCATTTTATATTTACTATTTACTGGTAACATTAAATAAAATGTACAATCCCTATTCGAAACATCATAGAATTTGTGTTCATGATATAAAAATCAATGAAAAACATGAATTCTTCTTTAGTTGTTTTCTTTTATGAGAAAAATTATTTCTTTAGATTTTATACTATAGAAGAATTAAGAAATTTTAAAATCAACTAAAAAATCTAGTATTCTATTTTGCATTGAATAAGAACCAAATTTTGCTACATTCTTCTTTGAAAATTTTAATAATATATTGATTATTATTTCTTAAAGATACACAATGAATATTTCATCCAGATTATTAGATTTAATCTTCATAGTATGTTTGTAAATTGTTATCAATTATTAATCATGCAATTACACATATTCTTCTTAGTATTCAATAGATGTTGGAAAATTTATATATTGAGTATACACGGTGGAGCCACGAGATTTGGCTATGCTCGAGTTCAACTTATATTGAATACATAAAGCTTGGATAGACTATCTACTATAAAAAATTCTATTGCTGTTTAGTGTTCATTTTCTTCTGATAAATGATGCATTGTTACAAGCTCAAAGCACATTTTATCTACTACCAAGTCGTGTTCAATAAGCAAAGATGACGCAAGAACAAGGCTCTGGTAGGCTAAAGTTTTCCTTATGTTCACGCTGCGTATGGTAGGCTAGGCTCAAACATTTTTCTCATTCCATCAGATCAATAGATTTCGGGAGAGTATCACATTTTTGTACAAATGCCAATATTTTTCACTGTCACCAGCAACTAATAATAACATTTTCTTAATCAGACAGACTTAGAAAACTTTTTTGAGAAAACATTGAGTTTTGTACAAGTAAATGTTGAATCATACATTGGCAATGACTAGAAGTAGGAAATTTTCATTATAGGTGAAGAAGATATGTACGACAAATCTGAGCCAGCTTAATTTGAATCTGAAAAAATTTTCTTTCGCTTGTAGCAACTAAGATTACATGACTATTAAACTTTTTCAATAGTGAAGAAACTCACAATTCAATATCTTGGTTTTTTTGTAAAACATTTCTGCTTCGTCATTAAATTTTTTTTCTGGTAAAGTAGATCAGAATCTTTTCCTTCAAAAGTCGCATTTGGATGAATATGAAAGTTTACATGCTGCTTCAAATGCAGGTTTGTCTATGCAAATCACGAACTTCTTTTTCTCGCTTGTACCATTGTTACACATTACAAAATATGAGTTTGATAAAAGAGACACTAACTGTATTGTATTTAAGTAGCATTCAAAAACTCGTCTTCTCTTATTTGTAACATTCAGACGAGAATCTCATAAAAAATCTTAAGTCTATCCTAAAATCAAAACAGTCAGTCGCCTATGATATTGAGCATTTATACCATTAAAATTAAGATTATGTGTAATCAACAGTACATTACATAATAATCTTCAAAAATCTTTGTGTCATATCTTTAATTCAAATCATTCTTTTTAAGTAACAACTAATTTCAAGAAATACAATTGGAACAAGTCTTCATCGGGACAGTTGTGCTTAAATGACTATCTATTGACATTTCATATTGCATGTTATTTAGATTAGCATATAAGCAGCAACTTCTCTGTTGTGAGAATCTTACTCTGCACCAATTTCATTTTAAACATTTTATTTTCCTAATACAGAAGAATAACAAAGTATATATTATTAGTTTATGCATTGCAGTAATCACTCAGTAAGTTTGTTATTTGTAATTAATTTATAATAAAAATGATATAGAAGATATCCAAGTTTGAGCTTTTACATGTGCATTATTTAAAGTAAAAAATGTATTACCAGGTATGAAAAGATAGAATATTACAGCTCTTGTGGCGCAATCGGTTAGCGCGTTCGGCTGTTAACCGGAAGGCTGGTGGTTCAAGCCCACCCAGGAGCGTATTTTTTATTTTTTTTAATTTCTTGTTGGTTTTCTTTTACGTATTTTTCTGAGAACAAATAACGGATGACGCAAGTCTACATGTTTGTCCATCGAGTACGAACAATAAGAATCATAAGAAAAAAAATGAAGCCTACGTAGTTCGATAACTAAGATAAAAAAAAACAAGAAAAAAATAAAGAAAGTTTTATGTTCTGAAATATTCGTTGTATTCCATCCACATGACCCGGACACACCTTTATCTGTTTGACAAGTAATTGTTGTTCTTCTATGGTGCGGATGTTTCTTTTTTCGTTTGTCTTTTTTTTTATAACTATGTAAAATAATATGTCGTACGATGATATTATTTATCTCAAATTTTTCACAGTATGTTCGTTGTCGATAACGATGAATCATCAACTGCTATCGTCAACAATCTTTTTCTGTGTACACACCGTCATCATTTTAACATCATGTGCTTCTATTGATTGACAACAGTGAAAAAAAGTCGCCTATATTTTTATTATTTTCTTCTATGCGGCTTCAGTTGTTGACTATGCGCAAGCCTGATTAAAAAAAGCAATTCTTTTTACTTCCTTCAGAAAACAGAAGTAGTTCATATTTATATATGTATATTCCTTTTGTTATTTTAAAATTTGTTTTTGATGAGTTAGACGAAAAGAAAATTCTTAAAAAATCTATATCAATAAATTTCTAGATGATAGCATTTTTCTATTAATATAACCTACGTATTTCATAATTTTCTCTTTCTTTTTTGCGTATTTTTTTGGTTTTTGTCATTACGAATATATATATAGTCACGCATGATTACCATTAATTTGTATTTTAGTTCCTTTTTAGACTATTCCGTATTTTTCTTTTATAGGTAAATATGTCATCGAATACTCACCAATCAGAATCACTTAATAAGAAACAACGACGTAGACAAGCTCGAGCTAATTTTCAGCAAACACAACCGTCTAATAATGAGCAGGATGAAATTGACCAAACACAGGAAATATCATCGACTCATCATATCCATCAAGAGGTCAGTGATGCAGTCTTGACAACCAAGGCAATGCAAGAACTTACATTAGACGCTAATAAACAAGCAGAGGATGTATGCAGATTTTGAGATTCCTTTTTTTCCAAAATTACTTTATCAATATTATAGAACGCACCAACAACATTTCCTGAGTCTGAGATAAAGCCAAATGGAGCGATAGTATCGGCTATAATAGTCGATACTGAGAAGAACGATCGTATATTTGATGAGGAAACACCATCTAGTTCACCTCATCCAACACCTCCGATATTTCGACGTCGAATGAAACGTATTCCAATAACATCCGCCATTCCTTTATTGCCTCCAGTTGAACAAACCACTGGCCCACCACCTAAACCGATACCCGGCACAAAGGGTATACTAACAGAAATCTATGTTAATCATTTTCCTGTTAGAGTAGCATCTAATTTGATGCTTTATCAATATGATGCGATCGTAGAAAAACCAAGTTTTCGATCACTAAGCACTTGGGATGAAGTACTGAGTCGTGATCATCGTCGACGATTTGTGCAACAATTAGCTAACAGCAATGCATTTGATTTTATATACTGGTAAGAAATGAAACTAAATTAAATTTTGTAAGATTAGGTTTTCATGTTTTTCAATTGGAAAAAAATTGCATAGATTACATTCAATGACTTTCATGAGATATTAAACATGTTATTTAAGAAGAAGTTTTCTTTTTCTTTTTCAATTAATTGTTATTTTCTTTTTATTTAACGTTTCTGATGATAATATCGACTTCCTTCCGAAGAAAATGTATAAATATAAATAGATAAAATTTTCTTTATCTATACATACATTACGAAATTCATTTGATTCTTGAGTAATACGAACAAGACAGTAATTGTCTGGTACGATAAAAATAATTTTTTTTTCATTCTATTTTTGTTATCCATACCATTTATAAAAAATAAAAAAAAAGAAATAACCACATAAACTTTACGATACATTGATATGCAAATTGTATATTCTCTTGTGAATGAATAGGCTACAGCTTGATTGCGGACAAAATTTCAGCCCTCACCCACACTGTCGGTCTTCTAATTGTTTTGATTTTTGTCCGCAATTAAGAAGACACGGAATGAATAACTGTATTATCGTCCCAAATGTTAAGTAAAAAAGAAATGAACAATTAATCACTAAGAGAAAAATTATTCTAATAATATGTTCACGAGTTTCCTTAATCAAAAACAATTCTAAGTATTAATGAATATGTTATATATTTAAGGTATGATGAAGGTAAATGTTTCTATTCAACAACGAATCTAAGTCGACACAGGTTTCCAATAATTTATACTCTTCCGTCTGGTCATCACGATAATCTTCGTTTATGTATTCTTAAATTATCTGGACAATGGTCAACATCAACTATAACTAATTATCTTTGTTCGCTTAATTCTAACGTCCCATCGAGTGCTATTCGTATACTAGAGACTTTACTCAAACAAGCTCTACTACCTGTTACTCATTGTGAAGGTTCATTATTTTATCGAGATCAACCTGAACCTAATGTACGTTTACCAGATGGTTTTGAATTACGTTTAGGATTTTTTCAAGCATTATGTTTAACACAAAAAGGATTAACACTTAATTTACAAACAACATTAACGAAATTTTACCCATATATCGATATACTTGATTTTCTTCAAGAACATTTAAAAAAAGATATTCGAAAATATGGTATGACAAGTAATGATTATGAAAAAGCTAAACAAGTATTAAATGGTTGTAAAGTAACTACAAGACAATCAAATTATACACACGTAAAAATTATAAAATTATAAAATCATTATTTATTTATTTATTTTTGTAGATATATCAAATTCGAAGTTTTTCTGATATTCCCGAACGACAAGTATTTGATTTTACAAAAGAAGTCAATGTAAATGGACAAAAAACTCATTCAACTATTCAATATAATCTTATTGATTATTATCGTGAAGAAAAACAAATTCAACTTCACTATCCAAGATTACGCTGTTTACAATGTTATTTTTTACATGAAAGACATGATCCAAAACATTTACCTATGGAAATTTGTCGAATACTTCAATGGCAAGAATGTGAACGTGAGGTTAGTTTTTAATAAAAAATAAATAAAAAAATACTTTAAAACAGAAAAAGAAAATCATCGAAAATTTTAGTCTGCTAATGAACAACGTAATCGCCAAAATCTTTCAATTCCAACACCTGATCAACGTTATAAAGATATAATGTCATCACTTCGTTCATGTAATTATCAATCACCACCAACATTACCACTTTGTCACGCTGTTCAATTAACAGTAGATGATAGTGAAATGAAATTAATTAAGGCTCGTATTCTTCCTCCGCCAGTTATTAATAATAATCATGCTGAAATAACAATGGGTCGTATAAATTTAAAAGGAAAATTTGTTGATCCATATCAACTGAAATCCATTGCATTTGTATATTTTGGTCCACCACCGCCACCGTTATCTGCACAAAGAAAAACATTAATGGAAAAATTTGTTGAATCATTTAACAAAGTAAATTATTTTTTTATCTTTCAATTGTTCTTTTTTCTAATCTTTTCTTTTTTCTGTTTGTTTTTAGATGGCTAGAATATTTCGTTTAGGACCAATTCCAACAGTTCAGAGAGACATTGTTTGGATATCCGAGAATGAACAAGATCGTGAACAAAATTTAAATTCTATTGAAAAATGCTTTCATACAAGAAAAAAACAAAGCTGTCAATTACTTATTTGTATTATGGATACTTGTTGGAATGAGTTACGACCTAGTATTAAATTAAATGGAACAGTTAAATATGGTATTTAAAATTTTTCTTATTAATTTAATTTATTGACATAATATTTACTTGTGTAATAGGTATAGTAACTCAATGTTTATTATATTCAAAACTTCAAGAACAAATGGAAAAATTTCAACGTACACAACGTGGTCATCCTGATCGTATATTAGATAATATGTGTGAAAATTTATTAAGAAAAATCAATTTTAAAATGCAAGGTATTAATACAACAGTTCATTTACCAATTCACACAGCTAATGGTACCACTGCATCAGCAACATCAAAAACTGAAGATGCATGGCAATTTATGGGTGCTGATGTTATTCATCCTGTATGTCGACAAGATAAACCATCCATTGCAGCTGTTGTTGGTTCAGGTGATGCAGTATGTTCAACAAGTGCTGTTCGAGTATGTAAACAATGGCCAAAAAATGGAAAATGTGCTATTGAAGCTATTGTTGATTTAAAACAAATGGTTACTGAATTATTAGAATATTATCGAGAGGGAAATGGTCGATTACCAAATAAAATTGTTTTTTATAGAGATGGTAAATAATTAAGTTGATCTAATGTAAAACTAACTTTTATTTATATGTAAATAGGAGTTGATGATGGACAATTCGCACGTGTTCTTAATTTTGAAATTCCACAAATAAAGCAAGCTTTTCAAGGTGAATTTTCTTTTTTTTAAATTTAATATTAAAAAAAAAAAAGATCTTATTTATATTTTGCTTTCAGATGTTTATGAAAACGAACCACATCCATCATTAACTTTTATTGTTGTTAAAAAACGTCATCATACACGATTTTTCGTACTTGATCATAATAATAAAACAGCTAATATTCCTCCTGGACTTGTTGTTGATACAGATGTTGTACATCCTGATCAATTTAGTTTTTTTCTTAATTCTCATAAAGCCCTTCAAGGTACAAATCGTCCAGCACTTTATCATGTTCTTTATGATGAAATAAAATTTACTGCTGACGAATTACAATTATTAACTTATTATTTATGTTTTACTGATCCACGTTCATCAACTAGTGAAGCTATTCCATCACTTGTTCATCAAGCTGATTTAGCAGCAAGTAATGCACGAGATCTTTTTCCTGAAAAAGATACGTAAGTTTTTATGTGTTTTATTTAATCATACAGTTTTTCTTTTCTTTATTTAGTTCGACAAATGATGGCTATGCAGTTGATGCCCTTGAAGAACCATCACTTAATGATGTTGTCACAGAACATTTAAGTGTACATGAAAATATGCGTGATACACCTCATTTTGGATAAAAAAAAACAACAATGAATGAATTTGTTTGATCATGAATCATTAAAATAATATTATTGAGCTTTATGTGTCTGTTGAAATTTTTCATTTTTTTATTTGCTCTTTTTTGTGATTATTTTTGATTAATACTTTTTTAAAAATTTTGTAAAACCAGATTTATTTGACAAGAAAATAAAGAGTGTTCAAAATGCAGTTTATATGTTATAACATAGACAATAAAAGACACATAGATACTGAAAATATAAGTTTCTCTGTTTGAATTTGTATACTAGAAAATACAATCCAATTATAAAGTATTGTATTTCTCTCTGAAATTAATTATGCAAGAATATTTTGATGATTCCAAAGAAATTTTGCGATCACTTTTCTATTAATACAATATGAAATCAGTGTATTGATCATATGAATACTTGAATTTTCAATCATACTAGGATCTTGGTACTAACTTTTCTATTAAGATTAGCAAATCAAATATAATAAAAACACCGCACCCTAAGATAAACAATATATGGTGATGATTCATTAGAATTATTTTCTTTTTTGATAGTTGTTATTCGTCAGAAGTTAAAGTAACATAAGGAAAAGTACCAGAAAGTATCATCCTATTACGATATTTGCTTAGTATTGGTTATATATTTTCTCTATCAGATAATTCCTCTGTATGGTGTAAATTACGTATGCATATTTGATTAATATTAACAAATGAAAAAATAAATAAATACATCTTACAACTCGACATTAACAGTACAAGTTTATTAATAATTGATAAATTTATAAATTATAAAAGATATTCAATCAGTTTATTAATTAATGGTTAGATTTGAAATTATGAATTACGTAGCTTTGATATTAGTAATGTAATAGATATTTATAGATAAAAATTTGTTGAGGCTTACATTAAACACTAATCCTCTTCGTTATTTTAACATTTGAGTAAATGTTAAAAATTCAAAAGAATCTTAAATAAGAGACCTTGAAATTTGCTGTTAATGTTATAAGAAACATTCATCATATGTCATTCAAAGTCTTTAGCTATTATAAAAAATATCTATTTTTATATAATTGACTTTATTTATTTGAATAAAATAATAAAAACATTTATCATCAGTTCAAGAACATAATTACATAACTATGCAAACATTAAATAATATATATTTATTGATATAAACAATATAATTACTCGCTGATAAAAAAAAAAGTAAGTATTTGTCAAAGATAGGGGGATACTATTGATGTTATTTCATTAGAATTTATATCATTCGATGAATGTTTCTGTTGAATGACTATCAAAAATTAGATGATCTGTTATTAATGGCTGTATATGAGAAATATTCATCAAGAAACTATGCATACGATCGGGCAAATATGAGTAGCTTGTTTTCAGCAATTATCAAATCATAATTATGTTCATCTGATTCTACTGATTAAAAACCTGTCGTATAAATAATCTTTTGGAACACATGATAAATAAAACTTGTTTCGAAATGCCGTATAGTCTAATTTTTAATTTTTTATAATTTACATTTACATTGGAAGTTTCCTATAATTTAGATTAAGAATAATGCTGCATAGAATTATTTTCAAAAAACGAATTTTCTGTATTATTTCTTTATATGAATAAGTTTGTATATCTTGTTGTTTTCTGTTTCTGCATTCATATGAACTAGTTAGATATAGACCATAAATAAATAACAAACAATCTGATTTTGTAAATTGACCTACATTAATCATAGACTTTGAGTAAGATGTAATATATAGAATAACCTAAGTGCGTGTTGTTTTTTTTTGACTTTGTTTGACCATTTAGATAAAACATTGACAATTTTATGTTTAACAACAATGTTTTGACGATAAGAGTAAAATTATTCGAACAAAATTTATAGAATAAGATAAAACATGACTTTAAAAAAGTTACAACTAACAAAAAGTTGTCTAAAAATAGAATACAATATTTTTTAGACTTGCGAGTCACAAAAAAAAAATTGTTTAGAAAATTAGCAATCTATAAGACATAATCTACGAATTCTTGAACATTTTTAGTGATTATCTTACTCAATCTACATAGAAAATGTGACACATTTTTCTCTGAAAAAAACAACAAGGGTCTCTGAGAATATCTGATAAAAACAATAAATCATACAAAGAACGTGGAAAACATAACTGCATTATTCATCATAATTGATTGATATTTTTTTGTCAAATGTATTCTTCGTTGAAATCATATTTGCAGACATATATATCAACGAAAATCGAAATGATATCGACTTTTGCAATATGTCTCGTATATCATCATAAGAAACATGGTTAGTATATTTAGTCGTATGAAAATTTGAACTTTTTATACGACTGGTGCGAAACTATAATAAAGAATAAGCAAGAAACAAAAAACACGACCGCAGTACTTTGAAGTACGGTGAGATATCGTACTTCGAGATATTCGAGTTACGCTTCTTTTTTGAAACACGGTTATTATTGTTGACTTTTGATTTTTTATATTTTGTTTTAACACTGATGTGATATTTTAAGAAATTTTAACTGAATCAGCGAACAGAAGATTATCACTGTCAGTATGATATTCAGATAATTGTAAAAATATTGAAAAATAAAATTTTGTATCTAGCTGTCTTTCGTACGTCAAGATTAATCGAAAAATTGATTTCAACAGATTTTCTGCTAAAAAAACTAATATTGATATTTAAAAAGTTTTTATTATCATTTTTATTGTGCAAGGATTTATTGAGAACATTTTATCTGTCGGCAAACACGCGGAGCAACTAGCAATAGAATTAGTGTTTTTTCTAATCTGTAGACTGATATATTTGATCAGTTTTTTTATATGTTCAAAATAGAACTAAAGTAAATCTGTTTCATATTTCAGAAATATTCTTCTCCTATAAAACCAAGTTTTATAATAACATGAATTACAAAATTCTGTAGCAAGAATACCAATTAATGAATATTGTGATCTAAATCCTATTTATTGATTATGTACTTATTTTGAAAAACAAATTAATATCACAGCTTTTTAGTTTCTTCCTGTTGGCGTTACAATTTGTTCTTCAAAGATTGTTAAAATAAACATAATTAAAACACCTGATAAATATCCCAAAGTAACACAAGTAAATCGAATCCAATCGAATTTATCTGTGTGAGGCATCAATGTTGGCCACTAGAAAATCATCAATCAAACATCATTATCATTAATGAAAAGTGTAATAAAACTAGCTTACTAAATCAACTAGGGCGATATAAGCAAATGTACCAGCAGTAATAGCAAAAATCCATGTACGAGCAGCTTCATTTTGAGCGGCACCAGCTCCGATAAAAAAGCCAATAAAAGCTGTACAAGCCGAAACAAAATTGAAAAGAAGTGCTCGACGAAAAGTAAAACCCGATTCAATTAAAACCATATATTCACCTTTGAATTAGAACAGAAGTTAAGATAATGACATAAAAATACTTGTCAACAAACCAAGTTCAGTTGGTAATTCATGACATGCAATAGCAACCGCCGTTGTTACACCAAACATAATATTTTCAGAAAAAGCTGCTCCAATAGCAAGACCATCGGCTATATTATGAATACCATCACCAATAATTATCATCCAACCGGTACCTATATAAGATTTAAAAATGAACTTTTGCAATGATGATTACATTGAATCGTTTTTACTTTTTGTCTGTCGTTCGTCAGCCGTTATAGTCAAATTAGGTAAAGTATTAGTAGAAATAATCGCAATATTACCATTTGTTTTTGATAATGTGTCACTCGGTAATTCACTCCTTTCAGGTAATGAAACGTCATTAAAACCATACGAATTCTATTGACGATGAACAATAAAAAAAAAATAGTTTCAAAATCTAAAATTATTCTATTCAGATTAACTTCTAAGTTTCAAAATCAATACACAATCTGTTTGTCTAGATTTTCAAGATCGTAATGCTCTCCTACTTCTGAAATTTGTCCACAAAACGGCCGCCCCCCCCCCTCTCCCCATTTCCCAAGACTCCATCATTCTGTCTTCAATGATGAGTTACGTCTTTGCAAGTTCTCTTACAAAAACTAGATAGCATTCAAGTTTCACTTGAGTGCGAGTAGCGATATGAAGCTTCGAATTTCATTATTCGAAAAAATTGACATCTTGTAAAAAACAAACAATCATTTTGAACGATTAAGAACGGAACGTTTTCTCCGAAAGATATTTACAGTTTAATTGAATGAAGTTATTCTCTGTTGTTATAATCGAAGAAGTTACATTTCGATTAGTGAACTGATCGAAGTCAGAAAGTGAAAATTAGCCATTACGAAATTCATTAGTAAGAGAACTCAATAATTAATATATTTCTAATGAATACGATTAGTTGATAATTTGATTCTCTGTCTAATTCAATATGTATCATTTGCCGCATTTATAGCTGTCATATATAAAATCACTTGTTTAATAAAAATAGTGACTAATTTCTGTTGCTGTCTTTATTTTCATTATCTCGCAAATATTGAAAAAAGAACACAATCCACAAAAATTTACTTCTTCATCGAGCTCTCTGCAGATGAACAACACTTCCTACTGAATATTTAGAAAATGGACGGTGTCAATTTGATCCTAATGTTTTTAACTTTTGTTCGAACGAATATATTTTTATATTTCACTCGTGATATCATCACTGCACAACATGACAACTTTTGATTTGAATGTCTAGAAAGGAAGAAAGAAGAACGTACGACGAGCCACTGTATAGGGACGTCGCACCTCATATATTTGGGTTGATCTACATAAATACTGTGCTTCACATTGTATTCAAAAGAAAGAAAAAAAACTTGCGAACGATTGCATTAATGGTTTGCTTCATAGCGTATTAAAACAAGTATCAATCAAACGATATATACATACTTTTGTATGACGATGATGTCGGCGATGCATGAAAGCATGTATAGTAAGTTCAATAACATAAAACACATAAGCAGCTGTATTGAGAGAGAAAGAGTATTTTAAGTACAATCAAAAGCATTACTTACTAAGAACAAGGACAACCATTTGCCAAAGAAAAATAGGTACTTGTATTTTTCCACTTGATTGTTCGTTTAATGTTAGTCGACCATGTTGATGCATATGAGATGAGGTGAAACTATATTCAATAATCTTTTATATTGAGAAAAAAAAATCAAAAGAAATATGTAAAAAAAAAAAAAAAAGAACGAATTAAAATACATACGACAGGAAATAGTTCAAATGCACTATCAGCAAAAAGTGTTCCAACAGCAAGTGCAGTAAAAAATGCATTTAAATATTTATAATAGGGTTTTTTCATTAATGGAAATGCTATAAAACCAGCTAATGAAAGAGCACTTATGATAAAAACAGCTAAAAATCCATAGCCATATTCTAAAGATTAAAAAATAAATATAAAAAAAAAAAATGAAAGATGTCATTAAAAGTTATTGTCTTACTTTGTGTAAGTGATGGTTGTCTCGCGGATGAAGATACTAATTCGGAACAGTTCTTTTTAGTAATTTTTTGTACAAATGATACATGACATTCTTTTACAAGTTCTATTTCAGTAGAATTTATTTCCCAATTATTATTGTTATTATCAAGAGCTGAGATCTTATATACTGTTGTTGAAGACCAACACTAAGTAAAATTATTTTCATAGAAAAACATTTTTTGTTTTCTTTTTATTATAAAAATAACTTACTGTGCTTTTGTTACTTTGTCCATTAATAAAAGATAAAAATAAACCAAAAATGATCAACAATTGAAGTATATTTAGAAATTGATCTATTTTAATCATTATCAATAAGTGAAACGTACTAGACTAGCTATATGATATTATTGTTGTCTGCTGAATATTTAAAAAGGTAATAAAACACAAATCTTGATATTAAATGAAGAGTGTGTGTGATAAACTGAATATCAACGATGAAAGAAAACAGAACAAGCTAAAAGAAAAGGAAAGAATATCAAGAGAAAAAGTACAATAAATTTAACATGTATAAAAGGTGACATGAACTACTAGTTACAAGTTTAATTCTTATTCAAGTATTTTTTCTTGTTGGTTTCATTTTAAATGTTCGTCTTAGTTTAAAAAGGATATCAGAACAATGTAAATCGAAAAAAAAACCTAAAAAAATGATTTTTGAATGAAATGTTCGATAAATAACAATAAAGGAAGAAACCTATCAAAGTCAATGTAACTTAACAATTATTATTGATGAAATAATAGACATATTCAGTATATGATTTAATATGGTCGTTCTATATTAATGATTCATATTGTCAATAGTTTGTCTACCCAAGAATGTTGCCTTGATTAAAAGACGAATAGTCTTTATTATATTTTATCATTCGATTTATATAAACTAAGAGGAATAAAATATTTGGTTAGTAAAATAGATGAAATGGTCAGTTAGTCTTAAATTATGGTTGTTAATAAATTTTAAAGTCAGTAAATAAACTTTACCAACAGTCGAATAAATCAAAGGATAAGTATACAAAATTGATATGCGTTATAGTCTGATTCACTTTTTCTTCTTCTCTGCTTATACTATGTAATACAGATGATTGATATGTACGACATATGCAGAGTGTTCCAAAAGTCCCTTCCACTTAAATTTTTCGTATATCTTTGCTATTTAATTTGACTTTATCAACTAATTTCTTTTAAATGATAAGTGGATACACCGAGTTTTTATTTATAAGAACAAACTTCAGAATTACTGTTCAAAGCTAAGACCTTTAACAGAAATACAAAAATTTAGTCTGTTTTCTATTTTCAGAAGCACATTACGCAACATTGCCTTTTCCATTACTTCCGGATATTGAGTGATCCAAATCTTTAAATTCTCCAATTCTTGAATAGTCTTTTCATAGAATTTTATTTTTTTATGTCTTCAAGAAAACGAACTGAATAGTATCAAGTTAAAATTTAAGTAATTAAAACAGATATTATCCATGAGTTTTTAGGAAAACAGAAAACAGGCCAAATTCTCGTATTTCGATCCAAGGTCTCAGATTTGAACAGTACTTCTGAAGTTTGTTCTTATAAATAATAACTCGGTATATCCACTTATCATTTAAAAAAAAAATTAGTTGATAAAGTCAAATTAAATAGCAAAGATATAAGAAAAATTTAAGTGGAAGGTACTTTTGAGACACCCTGCATATATATGTACTCATTACTTCTATCCTTTCCGCCCACTTCAGTTTAGTGTCAAAGAATGACAAAGATGGTATTAAGAAGTATTAGAATTAGCTGTTTTCATCTGACACTTTTGTGTTTTCTTCTATGTGGTAACTCTTCTGTTCTCATTACATCATATGTATTTTTCCTTCATATTTAATGATAGATTCTCTCTCTCTCTCTCTTCTCTCTCAGGTATTTCACTTTAGACTCTCTTAGATATTACCATATCTAGAGTATTGTTTAGATCCTATATATAGTTGCTGGTTTTTGCAATAAAATGCATATGTGCATCCGACACAATTATCTTTGACTATTACCTAATAGAAGCAACAAGGTTTCGGAGTGGAATAACTTCACAGTAGACGTGATAGAAGTTGCTCAATAGGAAAGTGATGCATCAGACGAAGAGATTGTGAAAGAAAATTATGATATAAATCGAAATGAAAGACCTTTCAAAAGAGAAATCAAAATATTGGGTTAAAGAAATTACATCTGATAATGCTCGGTGAGAAAAGAAAAAAGAGGAAGATCAGTGAAAGCTAAAACTGCTGTGCTAGTACAATAGTCTAATTTTTATCGTCTTTTTCTTTCATTTGTATTTAATGTTCTTTTTCTTATTTCTTATTTATTCTATACTTTATTATTTAAAATATTTTTCTTACACTAAACTATACTTTATACGAATAAAAAAAATTTTTTCTACTGATAAAATCTACATTTTTCATAGATCAAATTTATAATTTTTACTAATAATTAAATGCATTTTTTACTGCTAATTTATATATTAAACTGACCATTTCATCTATTTTACTAACCAGTTCAATCGTAGTCAAAACTAACTAGCAGAATTAAATATCAATCCTGTATGAAATCATCAAATAATATTGTTTATTATAATTTGTAAACTATTGAATTTTTAAATTGAGATACAACGAAAAATATATTATGCATTCTTTTATTTGTATATAATATTTTATTTACGATAAACATAAAAGTGAACATATTATAATTTTATTACGTTAATATATCGTAAATAATTAATATTCTTAACTATTCCGTAATGAAGATATAAAAACAAAAAGTCATATATAATTTCTATAAATATAAAAAGAATAGTTTTTAAAAAAAAGAGTAATGCTATATAATTATTTTATATTTTAAGGGCAAGTCTTCCACATGTACCACTATTGCAAATAATATCTGTATGAGCTTGTGCTGCTTGTTCTAATGGATATATTCGACCAAGGAATGGTTTTAAATTACCATTTTTAAGACCAACTTGTAAATAAGCATTTATCATTTGAATTTCATCCTAATTTATTTAGAGCAACAGATAATATTAATTATATTTTTTTAATCTTACTTCAGTTGAACCAGATAACGTCACGCCACAAATACTTGTTTCCTTAGCCATCAAAAGTCGAGGATTAATATCAACTGTACCACGATTACCGACAACAACAACTCGGCCAACATTCGATCTAAGCAATTGTAAATCATAATTTAAATTAACATTTGCTAACATTTCAATTATTAAATCAATTCCTTCATTATTTATCGAAGCATTCTATTAAATCATTCGTTAAATGAAATATATTTAAGAATATGAGAGAAAAAACAAACAAATATCTCACTTCTATATCTTTAAGATATCCTTCTTGTTTATGATTAAATACAAGATCAGCACCTTGATTACGCACTGCTTGTAAACCTTGTTCAGTAGATGCTGTACCTATAACACGTAAACCAAGCGATTTTGCTAATTGTACAGCTGCAATACCAACCTATTGTGTCAAAAATAAAATTCATGCTCATTTAGTTAATCATACTTTGTTATTTCCATTAACTTACTCCTCCACTAGCACCATGAATTAAAACTGTTTCATTGAGTTTTCCATGACCCCTATGAAAACAAATAATGATGAAAGTCCATTTTATTGGGGATCCGGAAAGATGCGCACGTGGAAATTTGCGCACGGAAAGATGCGCACGGATGCATTGAGAACGAAATATCAGACTATTAGTTATGCATGAACAATGATTAGAAAGGTGAAGAAAGAACAAAAATATCTAGCTTTGTTGAATTCAAGCTCAATATACTCATTCTTGAAATAAATCAAAAATGAAAGATGGTCTAATTCAAAAATTTTTAAATTGTAACTAATAGACGTTTAAGCTTTTTAATACTTTAATCCAATCAAGCTAAGCTCATTTTTGAAAAAAAAATATCCCAAATAACAGGACACGCATGAACAGGAAAAATCAGAACAATTTATTTTTTATATTATTTAAACATGTATACTCAGTCTTGTCTTGAATCCTCATCGTCATATTGTTGATCAATTAAGTGCGCTAGCACATAATATAACCTTATATTAAATATCTTCATTAGAAATAGAAACACTAAAGAGCGACATTGTATTTGTATAGTAGTGAACATTAGCTCTCTTTCTTATACTGTACTTCTAATTATTAAAATTACAATTAATCACTTCAAAAATAAATTATTTTTACCGTTTTGTTCAATTGACTTTTATTGATATGAAAACGAGTAATCAATATTACGTGCACAAAATATCTGTGCACAAGATTCCCATGCGCAACTTTCCGTGCGCAATTTTCCTCTTGTACTTCTTTCCTAGACCCATTTTATTGTTGTTATATTCTCTACTCTACCCATTTTCTTTTTATATTTATTATTTAAGCATATCAATATAATACAATGAATAGCTATAATGCCTGTATTAATTACTCTTCTTGTTGTATTTAGATTTTTACTTGAAATAATAATTTTTTAAATGAGTTGTTTGTTTATTAGAAGACCAAAAAAAAATTCATCGATTTCAAGTACCATTTAACTCTTCATTATCTTAAGGTACATTTCTGATTTTTTCTTTATTGCAACCAAATATTGAATTTTACATGTCATTGTCGAATTTAATATCCAAGTTTGAATTAATTCAATTCTGGATCATGCAAAAAACTGCAATCAAAATACAATTTTAATCCTAAATCGATATGAAATTCCAGATCCTTTCTTTTTGTTTTGAGGAATTATGACGCAGTGATGAAATTCTTTTCTAGATAGTCAGTTGATAGATGAAAGTTTGCTTTAAATAATTAGAAATAGTTTTCTATAGAATTTTCTTTGAAAATTAAAACTAATTACTTATAATCTTGTTCAATGTAGTTTTGAGTTTTGGTTCGGATATTATAAAAGTAAATATCATCAATTTCAGAAAGAAAATTATATTTTGATTGCAGTTTTTTGCTCGATTTACGTTTGGACTACTTCAAACTCAAAACATAGGATGGCCTGAATCTTAGATTAAACGCTAATAACTACAAAGATAAACTCGTTCTATATTCTGAAATATATCATGTTTAAATTCGAATAACTGCTAAATATGCATTTCATTTTCAATTACGTTAATTTGATTTTTAATTCAAAATAAGAAATGTGGCTTTTTTAAAACCATTAGAAAATAAGTACATTATCTATGAATACAATTTCTTATCGTTAAACAAGTTAACCAAAATATGATTGATTAAATCTAAATTGACGATGACAAAGATACGGCAGCTTACATGAAACTATCACATAAACATGTGTTTTTTATTTTTACGATGAATTTTTATATTGAGCTTCAAATTTATAACTTGAATGTATTCATATTGATTATATCTATTACTCCAATGGTTTGTTTTTTGTTTCAATAAATATCAATCCTAACATTGTGGTAAAATCGATATTTTTCGATTTTCATATAAATATCAATTTTTCAAATTACATTTATGCATTTACTCATTAGTTAAACATGTTACATGATTAGAATACTTCCAGACGGTATGGCAAGAGTACAAGCATGAGAACTTTTTTTTACTTTAGTATATTCGTTTTTGAAACAGAACTGAACACATACGAACTTTCTCGAGTACGAGCATAGATACATTCGAGTACTTGAAGAATATTTTACTCACAAGAAAGTCTTGAATTTCTAGACAAATAGATGTGTTAATGAATATTTCTGGGAATATAAATTTTAGTATAAGAGATTTAACAAGAAAATACAGCAAAGTTTAAGCTTCAAATTCATCGGAAAAAATTGCTCGAAAACATTTTAGATAGAATTCGAAGTGAGTGGACATTAGCATCGTGAAGGTTTAAAAAATCGCAGAATAGAATTTTGAAACTCAGAAAAAGTAGAAGGAACACATGTTGATCAGTGCCAGTTGAGGTAGCCAACGATAAAGTTTAACAAAATAGACACAATCGTAACAGCGTGAATTTATTACTTCATTGATTTTGTGCGTGAAGTTCTCTACACTATCATAGGAAATAATCTCTTTTGTGTAAAGTCTCGAATACAAACTAAAGGAGTACGGGTACGTATGAATATTGGTCTTGAAAAGAATACTTAAAAAGACAATAAATAATGAGCAAAGCGCACCAAAGTTGAAATAAAAAATATAATCAATTAGTTTCAATAAATAGATAAACGTTGTCTTACTTGATAACAAGGGCTCGATAAGCAGTGAAATAGGGCGTACCAAGAGCTGAACCTTCTTCAAATGAAATGCTTGATGGTAAAGGAAAAACAGAGTCAGAACGAGCAACACAATATTTAGCATAAGTGCCTGTAACAGTTTTTAGTGTGAACACACGATCACCAACCTAAAATAAAATATCATTATTTCACACAATCTTATAACAAGATAGAAACAATAATACATTCTCTTATGAGAATCTACTTGCTCTTAGCCAACAAGAAAACCTATTCAATGGTTTCCATCCGATTTCAATGATGCTTTTGCCTGTAGATACTAGGTAATTAGTATCTATTGGCAAAAAAATCATAGAAATTGCAAGAAACTGTTTAGGAAGGTTCTCTCAAAATTTAAACTTCTCAAAATGTTCAATGACTAATTTATTTGAACTAAATTATAAGAAGTTCAATTTCATCGATGGTATTTTTCTCAAAAATGGTATTACTCCGATTACCTTAAACTTAGTAACTTCACTACCAACTCGTTCAATAACACCAGCGCAGTCGGCACCAGGAGTATACGGTAAATTAGGTAGACGAGCATATGTACCAGATCGAATATATGTATCTACTGGATTGACACCAGCAGCATGCACACGAATCAATACCTAATTAAATTTTAAATTAAATTCAAAACAGAATAATGCTAGAATGGATATTCTGTTATACTTCTTGAGATTTTACTTCAGGAATAGGTACATCTTCAACTAACTTGCATACATTAGCATCACCTATGAATGGAAAAAATACATGATTTATGATTATTGATTCAAAAAACCAGATCGAGCGACATAGTAGTACCAAATTCTTTGACTAAAATTGCTCGCATTACTTTCGCCATTTATATTCAATATAATAAGATCAACTCTTTTGAATATTCTAAATGTCTATCTGTCAATTTTGCATCGTCATGTACACCTCACTGTTTGCTGATAAGGAAAGACCAATACAAAGAAGTAAGTTTATTAAGTGTCGCTCATGTTCAGATCAAGACGAAACTAAATTTTAACAATTCGATTTATTGATGACACGACAGTTCAGTCCAACAAATATGAGTCTTAACACTTGAGCCTCGACGTTCGAGCTCCCAATAGTAGAGCACCTGACTTTTTTGCCTACGGATATAATAATCCTTGACATTTGAGCTTTTCAACAACAGAGCTTCCCGACATTTCAGCTTTTCCTCTGCAGCTATGATTAAAATGATAGATATACTACATGTACATTATTCGGCATGACTAGGTGACCTAGTATCTAACGACATCTAGTGTGTGAGGGTAAGGATTTGTGTGCGTGTTAGTATGAATATACATGATACCAAGAATGACAGGCAGCCGCATTCTTGATTATCATGCTTTCCATAATAATATCCGCTTTTATACTGACATTGTAGACACTAAAATTAATCTTTATTGCTTTTCCTTTTTTCATTTTTATTTCTTGACCTAAATTAATATGTACAGCGAAGTGATTTTCATTTTCACATGGTTCTGTCGAAATATTTTCTTTTTTTCATGTTGTCATCAATGGAATGCAAGTGAAAAGAAGAGCCACATCCACCCACACTCACATCATGTTATTGAATGATATATTTATCTAATTTTTAAGTAACATTGAGCAAAAACAATGTAGAAGCTTACTTTTCACAAAGAAACTTGTCCAGTAATTTTATAACGGCATCGGATTATTTCAGTTGGATCATACATTTCATGAGATATTTTTAATAGAAAGTTGAATGAATGCAATTCGATCTAATTTGCTGGAGATCAGAAACGGTGCATTCTCATAAATCTTGAAATACATTAACAAATATTAAATAATAAATTCTCTCATATATGTGTCGTGATTATGCAGATTTTATACTGATATTCAATTAATTCTACAAAAATAACAAGTCATATTTTGACTTTAGAGAAAAATGAGTACACAAGAATAGCAAACATGAAGACTTATTTCTTTATTCATCATTTTCTATTCCAATAAAAACACAGTATATAACTTTCTTAACAATAAAAAGCATGAAGGACAAAAAGCGTGAAATATTTCTCACAGTATATGCCAAGATCAAATAATCTGATACTGAAGAATCATTGTCTTATCCATATTAGAACCAGTTCAGACCCACCACTACGAGACAGATTGATTGATAACAACCATTTATCAACATCATCTATATCTTGTCTTTCACAGAAATCCAAGATATATAAAACGTGTTGACATAGGAAAACATCTCCATGTTTAGGAACTCAAAAATGAATACTAGTATTTTGTCTTCTACATTTTCTTCTACTACTTACTAGTCAAAATTGTTGTGCCGGTCCACATTCAGACGGTTCGCCACCATACAGTTCCGGTGCTGCTGGCGTTAATACAACGATAGTCACGAATTTGCAACGAACTTTGGTTCTATACGGTTATATATTTTCTCCTTCTTTTTTTGGCATATTTTATACAGATCAATAGTATCATGATCTTTCTTCAACATACAATTCGTGAGATATTAACTACTGGTCTCTTTATTTCTGTCGCCACATCTGATATTATCTATTGGTAAGCATGCATTTATGATTTTTTTTCATATTGGTATCAGTCTCTCACATGTCAATCATCTTAGAAATCCTAGATTATCTAATAACTTTGTCGTTTTATATTTTTTATACAGTAAATGATAATGTGTTCATTACGTTGGAGTCTTTTACCTATTTCTATTAGTCAATGGTTTCGTATTCGTTTTCCCATTTTAACTCAAAAAGTTATCTATAAGAAAAGGTGTACTAATTGCAACATTGATCATCCTTATTTGTGTCATTACATTCAATTCGTATTTAGTTTTACTATCATTAGAAACTCACTCTACCAGAGAAAAAACATTTGTGCTCCTATATCAAAATAATTTATTCTTTCTCTTTCGACAACTAATATTTCTTCGTTTGTGATACACAGAAAACAGGAGCTCATTTATTTTTTACTCTTATTCATTAAGTATGGAAAACGTTATTGATATGTTGACAAACTCTTTTATTGGCAATTATTCTATTGATTGGGACAATTGATATGCTTATATTGTCTTCGAGGACAACAAAGCCAGAAACAGACTTGAGTAAGAATCTTCGTCGTATTTTTGTTGATGAACAAATATTGATAATTATGTTAATAACCTTTTTTCAATATAAATTCGATTAAATTTATTGTGTATTATCTTTTCATCCCTTATAAGATATCGACTTTTGATGATCCATACACTTGGATTAACATCTATTTTTGAATTTGTTGCATCCATCAATGATACTGTAAGAAAGCTTTTAGTTCTAATGAGTTCCAAATAAATCAACTTTTATGTATTTCTCATTTTAGACAACATTTTATGCACATCCTTAGATAAGTGAATTGTTTCGATGAGAATTTTATAATACTTTACACTTATGCTTAGCGCTTAAGAATAGACGAATCCGTGTAGAGACAGGAATGATTAGTCAAAAAAAATCAAATAAAAATAGGACTAATAGACATGAAAGAAAAACAAAAAAAATTCAGAAGAATATACAATTGAAATGATGCAGTATAAATACTTTTCGTCGTTTCATTTAAGATTTATATTTGCTTCGGTAACGTTCTTGACCTGATGTCATATAACAACTTGAACTAACTGTTGCACCCGTTGAATACGTTGCACGTTCTTGCCCATGTTGTATATACATATTGGTCATGGTTGTTCGAAACTCTTGTTGATTCGAATATCGATACTCCAAATCATGTATTAACTGTTGACATAAGGGATCTTCAGCTGAAACTGATGAACGAATTTTAGCTATTTGAGCATTGATCATATCACGAACACGCTGGTAATCATTTTCTTCAACTGCTTGTTTCAATACGTGACTTGTTTCAGATCGATTACGTTGTATATCAAGTTCATAATTGACTTGTAGAAGTGATGATTGAGGATCTATTTGATTCGGACGAGCAAGTATAAATGGAACATGAGGAGCATGAATTTTCTGATCAGTATTCGTATCTATATATTCAAGAGATACATGACCTAAAATTAAATTCAATTATATCATTTTCTATTTTACAATAAAATCAATCCGTGACTTACCAATAGTATGATCATTTGAATTATTGTCATCTGAAGGATTGATTTTTGGTACATGTAATTGGAAAACAAGATTTCGACTTTCATCAGCATTAAGATCAGTCATTTTAAATGTTATTTCACGTGATGGTAAATGTTTCGGTTCATGTTGATAAATTGTATGAGTATGAGTAACTTTATAATCATCATTGAATTGTAATTTAATACATAATTGTTTTGCAATGCATGTAAAAATTCCACCAATGGCTGTAGCAAATGCATGACCAACTGCATCAACTTGATCGATATAAGTAAAAGTACCTCCATGACCTTGTTCAGCCAATCGAGAAAGTAATGCAGCATTATGATCAACACCATAACCAAATGTATGACAAACAACACCTTCCGGTAATGACTTCATTAATTTCGAATAATCATGATATTCATTATCTTGACCATCAGTAAGAACAAGCATAGCACCTAATGGATTAGTTGTTCGACGATTTCTCAATAATTGAATTGCCATTTCAAGACCTTTACCAATATATGTACCACCATCCGCTTGAATATGATGCGTGATTGCATTTCGAAGAGTTTGTTTACTTTTAAAAAAAAATATCATTCGATTAATAATATAAAATAGAAATAAATACTTACTTTTGTGTTGTCATTAGTTTAAGACCTTGTGATCGATCGAATGCTCTTGTATCAAATGAAATAATAGCTAATCGATCTAATGAACCCATTTGATCAACAAGATAATTTAATGTATCTTTTAATAAAGCTATTTTGTTTCCCGACATTGAACCACTTTGATCAACAACACAAATAAGATCAATAGGAACATGTAATTCATCAAGTTCTTTTTCAGTTGCTGTCTTAGAAAGTAATGAAGGAGCTTTTAATGTAACCATTCCATAAATATTTGATTGTTTTGTTGATTCTTGAGCACCAAATTCTAGTGTAGTCATTGCGGTAATCAAAGGAAATTCAGTATGTCCTTCGATAGATTGTTGTCGAGCAGCACTAATACGAGCTGAAAGAATGCGAACAGCTTCTTCATCAATAAGATCTTCTGATGAAGCAGTATTGGTAAAAACCTAAATGAAAGTATAATGAATATACGTCTTGTTTTCATGTTAAATCCTTACGTTAAATACAGAATGTCTGTTGGAACCACTAGTAATCCAACTAAATGCATTGCTTAGTGATTTCGTTAATGTACTCCAAACACCTGTATTATTTGCTTGTGGTGGTGAAGCTTGTATAGGTAGTGCCGGTTGTGCTAGAACTTGTTGAATAGGTACGGATGTATTCACATTTGATGATGTATTGAGTAGATCCACCAATGAATCGAGACGAGTTCGACATAAAGGGCATTCATTGTTTTTTGCTTGAACATTTTTAGCCAAACATTGAAAATGAAATTGATGTTTACATGCCGTAGTAAATATATCGAGACCTTGTTGTGTCAATGGAAGCAAACAAATTGAACATTCGTCTACGGTATTTGAAGTTTGAGAATTGTTGGATGCAGCCATATTATTATGAAATAATAACAGAAAGAAAATAAATGTATGGTAAATAGTTTACAGTCACATCTTATACGACAGAAAGAAAATGTAATTGCACAACTCAAACGCCACGTCATAACCATGCGCCATTCAGGTGTTTCATGCTAACATGAAACTTGAATTCCTTGTAAAAGGATGATTCAATTTTCCCTTTCAAATGTAATCGCGGTCATGAGGGAGATATTCTGAATAATATTCATAAACTGTAGTCTGACGTACATTTATGAGTCACAATCACAAACATTTTCCGTCATAAAACAAAGTTTCTTTCATGATAAGTCAACAGTTGCAGACACAATGATAAAAAGATTGTCAACACAACATGTTTGAAGTTGAGACATGACATTCATATGTTTTCTCTAGCTTTATTTTACTAATACAAAATATTTCAAATAAAAGATCTCGTAGAGAAAATAGTTCCTTTCCAAGAAACAGCAATCGTCAGAGAAACAATCTGCCTTACTTTTGTATTTGGAACCGAATTTCTTTTTGTATATATTTTTTCATGGTAGTCGATTTTTTATTTTCGTTGTTGCTGTACCCTTGTTATTTCGTTCCCCTTTTTTATTTCATATCTCTCATTTTACTTATATGATTTTTATTACGATTATTACTTTAACTCGGCGTCAATGTGAATTAAAACAAGACCCACAGCTTCCGTAGCTGTACTATTTAGAACATTTAAAAATGTATTCCAGTCATTTCGATTTCAAAGAATGCATCGGAATATTCTACAATAGGATAAACCTTTTTTAATCCCATTCAGTGGCATTTCCGTTTCTAAGGAATTATGGGAAAGTTGCCTGGGGCATGTTTTTGTGGGTTGCTTGGAAACGGTTTGTATTCAATGATCTCTGATTTGTGACTACAGTTACTGAAGTATGTAAGGAAGGGGAAGATGAGTTAGTAAACCTCGACTTAAAACCTACACTTGCTATTTGTTTGAAAATATATATGAGTTCAACAATAATCTAATATAACGGATGCTCTGTAACAGATGGCAGCACTTTTTATTTCATATTTTAAACTATAAATACGTCTTGTTATGAAAAAAAAATGTAACACAAGATATAGCTTGAAAATCTATACGATCTACAAAGTAAAAGTTATTTTAATTGTGTACATATTGCTTTCAAAATAAGCACTACTTTGTGCGACCAATTTCCAATGCTGTGAACCATACGTGTATCATTTATTCGTGCACAATGAATTTCTTATTTCATTCATTAATCAATCCTAGTTTTCAACTTTATCCCATTGCATACTAATGGTAATAGAATCTCACATATAATAATCCAGAACATGGCGATTAAGTCTATTTGATGGTCAACTATAATTATCTATAAAATGCATGAAATTTTCTATACATGATGACAATAATACCTGATATTTATGTAACTTGGTGTTGTTTTGTTGATAGGTAACATCGTCGTCCAAGAGCCGTTTGTTTTCAGATTGTGCTATTAGAATAACACTTTCAATCTAGCTTTCATGTGACTATATCTTAATCGAATTAAATACAATGAAAGACATAAGACCATTTTTATCCGCATCTAACCATACCATAATTCTGTTTGAATACTTAGACTTTTGGTTTATATAGTTTTGTTTGTCTTCTTCTTGCCAACTGGCAGTATAAACACGTTCTAATGAGATATATTTTTCATAGATAAATAGAATTCTCTTCCAACGATGAGATAAAACAGCGAATAGATTATCTATCAAGAATGATCCTTATTGTAGAAGTGTAGAGTTTTTTAAGCTACATCTTGTGATTCATTCTGTTTCTTTTCATAAGATGTATTAATGGATTCAAATCTGAAGTACAAAAAATTTGCAATCTATTGTGGTAAATAACAAATATAAGACTTAATCGTGTTCTGTTTCAAATACATGTTTCTATATTATTGTTTCGAAACAGAAACATGATTCTTATATCAGACGAAATTGATAAATGATTATTTATTTTCTAATACCAGCAACGTATGTTTTGTGTTGCTTGTAGTTTAGAATTTTCATTTAACAACTATTGTTCTATATATAATTTAAAATAGAAAAAAAATGCAAATTTTACTTTGTTGATTTATAAAAGATATTTTAAAAGATGATTTTTCTTTATTCAACTTTAGATATTTGTGTAATACATTTGTCTTTCCTAAAATTACTCGAAACAAACAAGACACTGGAAAAGATACGTTCCTAAAAACATTTTGAAAATGCATAGGTGCATACATGCAGTCATGCAAGACTATAAAATCTCTGCACTATTCTTCGATTCACATCTTCGATAATGTCTTTTAGAATGTTACCATCACAACATTGTGAACCACCATCAACGACACTAAATTGAACTTCAGCTGAGGCATCATTGTTTGGTATGGAATAATAATGAGTCTGGAAATTAGTAGCTCATGTTGTGGATCGATCAAGTAACCAATAAGATCGATAAAAATGTCGTGTAACTCTAAGCGAAAAAAAAATTCAGAAAATTACGGTTAATTGTGACTTTTAAAACCTCACCACAGTTTTCTGTAAAAGCTCAACGGTGTCATTTGCATAACCGTGGCATTGGTTAAGACGCTTAAGTTTATTCAACTTCCAATGGTAGATCTGAAAACAAAATCTAGCTTTGAATGATTATATTTTTCTGTTTGGTTTTTTGGATATTCTATTCACTTCAATAGTATCATCATCTTTCCTTGATATACAATTCGTGACATAGCAACGAGTTCTATCTTTATTTGTATCGCCATATCTTATATTATCTATTTATTAACATGTATTTATGACTTTATTTATATTGGTATCAGTCTCTCATATGTCAATCTTCAAACAAATCCTATTTTATGTAAGGCACTTGGTCGTTCTCATTCATTTATTCCGTAAATGACAATGTGTTTATCGGCTTGGATTCTTTTACCTATTTTTATTGATTGATGGCTTCGTATTCGTTTTTCATTTCAAGCTCAAAAAAACTGTCTACAAGAAAACGTATACTACTATAAGCATGGATTATTCTTATTTGTACCATTACATTCAAGTCTCGTGTATTGTTACCATCGTTAGGAAGAGTACCACGAGCAGACATTTGTGTTTCGATATCAAATACAACTTATTCATTTTTCTTTCGACAAGTATTTCTTCGTATATAATACACAGAAAACAGAAATTCATTTATTTATTTTTATTATTCATCAGGTACGGAATACTTTAGTGCCAACAATTATTCTTTTGATGATGACCACAAATATGTTTATTTGTCTTCGAGGACAACAAAAACAAAACTTAAGTCAATGTCGTCGTTTTACTTTTGTTGATAGGCAAATATTGATAATTATGTTAACAAGAATATTTTCGTTTTTTTCAACATAGATCCGATTAAGTTTATTGGATGTCTTTTCACCCGTTATACGATATTGACTTTCGATGATTCACACACTTGACTTAAAATCAATTTTCAATTTTTTTGCATCCGCCAATGATGCTGTAAGAAAGCGTCTAGTTTTATTGATTTTGAAATAAATCAAGTTTTATTTATTTTTATGTTAAACAAATGACTTAATTCCACAAGATTTTTACAGCACTGTATGTTGTCTTTTAACATTTCAAATTAGACATGCTGATATTATGAGAACTAATGGGAATTATTGTAGCAATCAAAAGTCAAACTCATCATTTCAGAGAACGAAAAATTCAACCGCTACTTTCAACTGAATAATAAAATCTTTTCATTTCAAATAATAAATTCAAAAAGAATATCTAGAAATTATAAGCAAAAAATGGTATGGTTATTTATTAGGTTTAATATAAAATTTTGATACTACTTTTCATAAAAAATCGGTTGCTTTATGTAAAATATTCTCAAAAAAAATAAAATAAGGTACTCAAATTGTCGAAGATGAAATTGACATTGCGCTTGGCACAAGTACATTATATATCGTTGTTTCTTTTTTGATTTCAAAATCATGGAATAAAAAATTATTAATCATATTTTTTGAAAACGAATTTATCATCGATAAAAACGTCGCACTAATAAATGCATACATAAAGCCAATGCTGTAAGAGTATAAAATACTTGTGCTATTCTTTTTGTTGCTCGATTCATATCTTCAACATAATCCTCTGGAATATCACCACCACAACAAAATGGTTGTTTACCTTCTTGATCTTCACAACATTGTGAATCACCACTCACAGAACTACATTGGATTTCAACTGAAGCATCATTATTTGCTGTACAATAATAATAAGTTTGTGAACTAGTAGCTGGTGTTGTGTATCGATTAGATGATGAACGAGATCGATAAAGATATCGTGTAGCTAATGGAAGAAACATTAATCGAGATCGACTCCATATCCATCCGTTTGGACGAAAAATTGTTGCACCCGTACGAGTATTGGAATATCTTGTGATAGAAGGTGACGTACGAATTCCGGTACGGATTCCACTACTACCACTACGAATTCCACTACGAATGCCACCTGTAATTCTTATAGCTTTGTTCATCTGTTTATTTTGAGAAGTATTTTCTAGATTGAAGCGAATAAAACTTATAGAGATTTTATTGAAGTAAATAGATTTAAACAAATGTAGAAATTCAGACTTTTTTTTTCTAAATTTATTTTGGATACTTACCATCCTTATTAGAATGTTGTTCTTCTTTAATATATTTATCTTCATCTTTTGAATGGAATAATTCTTGACAGATAAGTTCCCATTGTTGATTTTCATCAATTGAAAGACTATTGTCGTTATACAATGTATCACAAATATTTTGAATTAATTTATTTGGTTTTGATTCAGTTGTATAAATAATATCAATAGTCTCCAATAATAGGAGTAATATCATTATTTTGATGTGCATTTTAGCAAAAACAGATCTTCAGATAAATGAAATTTTATGATCCGATATGTTTTCATTTAAATAGCAAGGTAGAAACTTGATCATTTTTTTTTCTGTGACGTAAAAGTCTAATATCTTGTGTGTCATACAAAAAAAATGAGTAAATATAGATAAGCAGAATGTAGGTGTGCATGCACTTATTTGTAGATTTTGGTTACCAAATTGATTGAGTAATAAAAAAGCACTCACGATAACTTTACATATGTTATCTGCCATATGTATCAGTGTAAAATTCTTTCAACATATTAATTTAAAGTATCGTCGTTAGATAAAAATATGTATTTTGACATTCATCTTAATAATGATAATATAGAAAACTGATGACTCTTTTTCATTTTAAAATTATCATATGTCAATTTAATGAAAAAAAAATAATGGAAAAAGTTATTTCTGTTTAAATGCAAACTAAATTAATAAATTATAAAATCTGAGTAGTAGACTACTTTGAATTTTTTAGGGATACATGAAAAAACAATTCGTAAACACCTTACTGTGCAGTGTCAATAAAGTAATGGAAGAAAATGCTTTTATCAATATACGACGTCAAGCCTATGATATCCTTTGCTTTTGTGTTGAGAAAAAAAACCCTTTTCTTATTCACATACTTCGATTTACATCTCTAAAAGATCAAAATTCGACCTTTAAATAAATATAAAATTGCTTCATCTCAGAACATCAAATGTCTTTTCATTCATTGTAAAAAACAATCCAATGAAAACAAAGACAAGTTTTCACAAAAGAAAATAATTAATAAATATAATATACAATTGCTATACAGTGACATTAGTTGATTTTCTAGCTATAGATATGATCTTCTCGAATCAATTATTTTACAGTAACATGTTGAATATTATGTTTAGGTATTATTAATAAGGCAAATTATATCTGATAAGAATTTGTAGCCTTTTTGACTTTCGAAATTGATCATGCGAATAAAAGAACCACATTCTTTTTTTCATACAACAAAATTCAAATTATAAAGTGCAACCATCATGATACAATCTTAGTAAGATATTTTCTAAACAAAATATTGTTGATATGATAAGAAAAACAATCTCTTGCTAGTCATAATGATGTATGATATATGTTATTCTATTCTTGCCTTATCTTTTGTATATATATATAAATCAAACAACAAAAAATCTTCTAGTTTGTTCTGTTAGATATATCAACAAAAGAAAACTAATGCAACTGATAAGTATTTCTGTAATACTTGCTGTAGTTTATACTGGTTTTATATCAGCTCAAGTACCAATTCCATCACGTCCGGATGGATACGGTGTTGGTGGACCAGCTGATGCTCATGTTGTTGTAGAAATGTTTTTTGATCCACTTTGTCCAGGTTGCAAAGCTTCTTGGCCAACTGTTTTACAATTAATTCAAGCATATGGCACACGAATTCATGTTCGAATTCATACATTTCCACTTCCATATCATACAAATTCATTTGTAGCTTCTCAAGGTTTACATGTTATTGCTAACGTTACAACTCGAAATCTTGATACTATTTTTCAATATGTAACTAAAGTGTTTGAAAATCAACAAATGTGGTATAATGATGCAACAAAATCAATGACTATGCCACAAGTTATTGATTCACTTGCTACATATATTGACAAAATTGGTTTAGTATCAAAAGATAAATTTTTAACAGGTATGGCCAGTGATGATATTAATGATGAGACACGTATTTCATGGAAATATGCTTGTTCAAGAGGTAATTGAAGTTTAATAAATAATTAAAATAATTTTAATTTTCTTATCATACTATTTAGGTGTTGTTGGTACTCCGACATTTTTTATTAATGGTGTAGTTACAAGTGCAAATTCAGCATGGTCACTTGATGATTGGAAATCTGTTATTGATCCAATTTTAGCATCAAATGAAAAGGTTTCATCTCAAATTAAAGATTGTCCACCGAGTCAAAAGGAATGTGATTATGCTCCACATAAAACTCAATGTTGTTTAGCTGGTGAACGATGTATTCCTAATGTTGGTTGTCGTTGTTTTAATTTAAAAAATGGAAACAAATGTGCTTAAAACGAATGTGTAAAATGTCGAAAGACTTTTTATATTTCTTAATAAAATGTGCAATATATAAATCGCAGTTTGTTTTTTGAATAAGAGAAGCAATTTTAAAGAATATAAGAATTAAATTTATTTGATCATAAATTACTAAAAAAAAATTATAATTCTCTAAAGTCTCAATCAGAGCTAATTAAATATTGAGTAGCTGTGTCATGGAATATGCCGATAGAATCGTAAGATTTACTTTGTTAGAAATATTAACAAAATATGATATCGCATATCTATTTGGTATCGATTAAAATTCGATTTACAAATATCATTATATGTTCTAAGTATTATAAATAGACATATATCGAAACAATCAAATTTTACTCTATTATCTCAATATTTAACGGTGATCTATCGGGAATTTAAAGAGATCTTATCAAGAACAATCAATAATGAAAAGTTAAAATCGACCCACGAACTAACTCATTTTGTCAACTTAATTGATTACTTAAAATTTCGACGATAGTAATGACGAGATTTTTGTGATCTAGGCCTGAAAGATGATGTTTGAGCTCCATGAGCATAAAAATGAATGACTAAAGAACACAATATATGTTCAACTGTCATGTCTTCTCACTTGTGAACATAAAATCGAAGTTCAAAATCTGTCAAATTCAATTTCAGTAGTTTTTTAAATTTAATTTATTCAAATTGAAAAAAATTTTAAGTCTCAAATTTTCGTTTTCAAATTTTTAAGAAAATTATTGATAATAGTTTTAATATAACCTTTAATTTCATTTATATTTTTAAACTTGCTGCAATTTATAGAGTTCGCTAAATATTGAGTTTCATTATTTCAATTTAATGTCCTGTGATTTGTAGAGTGCGCTAAACTATATAGTAGGGCTATTTTTCTTTTTAATTAATTTCAATTGATAGAATTCGTCAGACATAATTGTTACTATGAATGTCACGAGCTTTTTTTCAATGTGAAGACACCATCTAGTTATCATTATAAAATTCAATCAAACATTAAATGGAGACAACTAATTGAGTTGCAAAAGTATTTATATAAGAAAATCAAAAACACAAAAACTGATATTCTAAAAAAGACGGTTTCGAAATATGGACGCTGATGAGCATCTTCTCTTGATGAATACACTTCAATCTGCCCAAATTGCATTGGAAATAAATTATGACACACCACGTCTTTAATAACTCGCTTATGTTTAATTAAAATCGTTCTTAGCTAAACACAAATCGGCAAGGGTGTGGGTATGAAGACAAGGTGGACACCCACACCCGTGCTATTGAATCAGGGTATCGCTTATTTGCCAACATCGATGAAAAAGCATTCATTTTAGTAAGTATTAATCAACAAGAAAGGCTATTTCGGATCTAAACATTCAAAACTAATCTCAATCAAAAGTTCAATTTTCAATATTACTAAATATACGTATTTAAATTGAGCTATCTTGATTCATGTGTACAGAAAAACAATAGTGTTAGCTGTTCCAAGACTTGTGAAAATTCTTTTAACATTGTCTTTACAACAGACTTAGGATTTTAAATAAGAATATTTGATATGAAAATGAGACGAACATTTTTCTTTATTTGTTTCTATTCAATTTTAGGATTGATTAAGTATCTATCGGTTTTTTGGATTTTTCACCAGTTTGTGTTTTTGTTTGGTATTTCTAATAGCATCTGGTGAAAATAAATCAGTACGGACTCTTATTCATCAAGCAATGCTCTGAAAAACTTTATTTTAAAAAGATAGATCAATATTTGGTATAATATGTTTCTTTTCATTTGTTCAATACACATCTTGTCACTAATTTATCTCTTATATAAAAAGTAAATGTAGATCAGATTTGTTTCTAAATCATCTTCCAATTTTTATAACTATGCCAAGCAATGGTTGATTATCCTAACAGATCCATTGATTATTATGTCCAATGTTTACTGATGCAAATCGAAAAGAATTTCATAAATAAGATCGCAAATGAAAAATAAAGTTTGACTTAAAAAAAAGATGTTTACCCTGCTGTACTTACATTAGTTAATGTTTGAATAAATCTTTTTACATTGATAATTTTGTTCGAATGATACTTAAAAACTGTAGAATTGAATAACAACACATATGTGAAGCATGTTGCGAATCTTTTTCGATTTAGTATAATTAATGTTATTATGCGCTGTCAATAATCATTTTTATAGTGCAATGAACAAAATAGTAACTATTATTTACTATCTTGAATCGCCCTGCATATGTAATAAAAACTGAATGAAAAACCTGCAAATAAAGTACAAGTATGGTAAACAAAACGTTCTATTGATAGAACAAAATAAGATTGGATGGTATCCTAAATACTAATTTCTGTGAATAATAATATTTAAATTGAAATTTTAAATGGTAGTGAGGATAAATCAAAGCGTTAAAACATCTTCATTTCACTTAGAAACTTTCGATTTTGTTTTAGTGGTGCAGGCATTGTCAGCTTTTGAGACACCATTTGTGACGTTACTTTAAACTATTTATTACAATAAAAAGACATCAATTTTTATCTATACTAATCCTTAAACATAATTTTATACATATGAACGTGCTCAACTACCTGATATCTCAATGCTTGTTTGCTTGTATAGTTTTAGCGAAACATCAGAAAAATGCAATTCTTTTACTAGTTACTGTGCGTTTGTAATGCCAAGGATGCGAGCGGATAGGGTGTGGTGTGTGCTTGTGGATCTTCTCTGTAACAACTGTGGGTGCGGGTATTAGACTTCTCCTAACCAGTAGCATTATATCAGTTCTATAAGTTCGTTGATTGAAGTGAAAAAGAGCTTTGTTGAATCGGCGAATTTTCGATAAAGTTGATGATAATCCTTTCTAAGAAAATTGTATTATTTTCATTGTTGAAGAAACAGT